AGCATATATTCTGTTTTATCTTTATTTAATGTCAATTTATTGGCCAACAACCAGTTGTGCATAAGCTCTAGGTCAAAATTTAATCGCCGTTGTAGTTCTTCTTTATTTGAGCTTGCAGTGGTTAGATTTGTGTCGTCGGCAAACATATTCGCTTTAGTATATTTTAAACAATTTGGCAAGTCGTTAATATAAAGAAGGAATAGCAGAGGACCCAAGTTAGACCCCTGGGGTACTCCACTACGAATTTTTGCGGCTGCGAAATAGTTTGTCCAATCTTACACCTTTGGATTCTATTTGACAAGTATGATTTAAACCAATTTAGTTCAACCCCTTTTATGCCATAAAGTTCTAATTTTCTGAGTAGGATACTGTGTTCTATACGCAATCAAATGCTTTCTTTAGGTCAAGAAAAACAACTCCATTTAGGTACCCTTTGTTCATATTTAAATACCATTCATTCGTAACAGATAGTAATGAAGTTTCTGTTGAATGCTTCTTTCTGAAACCTAATTGTTGGTTTACTAATATTTTATTACTTTCCAAATAGTTTGAAAGCTGGTGAGATATAAGTCTTTCAAAAATCTTAGCAACCGCAGACAATACAGACACAGGTCAATAATTTGTGGGTTTACTTTACAATCCGATTTATAAATAGGGGAAACAATTGCTATTTTCATATCATCTGGAAAACTACCCGATAGTATTGACTTTTTGAATATTGTTGTTAATGACTTAGCAATTACATCAGCAGAATCTTTCAATAGTTTAGCCGAGATTCTGTCATGTCCTGTAACTTTAGTTGTTTTAATAGTATATAACAGTTTAGAAACGTCTGTTTCAGTTACTAACTGAAACCGGAAAATGGTGTTTATAGGTTTCACATACGATTCTGGTATCTGGTTATGTTCCGGCAGATCTTTTGCTAATTTGGGTCCTATATCTGTAAAACAGTTATTGAAAATATTTGCAATTTCTCTTGGATCAGTTACTATATTCCCGTCATCTGAAATTTCATTTATATTGGTGGATTTTACATTCCTATTTGTTAACTCATTAACTTTTTTCCACATTTTCTTTGGATTTGCCTCGCAATTACTAAATGCCTGCGTGTAATAATTTGCTTTCGCATTTTTAACTATTTTAACCACTTCATTTCTAGCTTTTTTGTAGGCTTCATGCGCACACTTAGACCCAGATTTTACCGCCTGTTTTTTTAGAAAATCTCTATTATGTATCTGTGTTTTATTCTAGGCGTAATCCATGGTATATGTTCATTTTTTACTTTACGGGTAATGTGGGGTGCGTGCATATCTCCAACCGCTAAGAACCTTTCCTTCCAATCATTCCAAACAACATTTGGATCTTCACTATTTGATTATAGGGTTTCCAGTACCCAACTTAGATCATATTTAAGCGGCGCCAAGTTTGTGACGTAATTTACCTGCCAAAAAGTAGCAGTTCCAAAAACAAAAAACATACAATTTGAAAGAATGATATCTTCTATGTTCATGGGAAATTTAGTAGAAACGGGATGAAAATTAAAGCATGGAAAGAAATTTGCAACAGATGCCAAGAGATACGTTGGGTGGGGGCGAGGTTCTCTAGGGTTCCAGCACATAACCCTGATCCAGGAAATCCCGACCACCGAATATGAACATGTTCAAGACTGCAACTACGCTGAATGATGGGAAACAACAACCTGTTGATGATTTCGCCCCTAGAGCGGTGCAATTTCATCTGCCTATAGTGATGTGAAAGAAGCAGCAAGTCGGTATTTTTGTTCAGGAGAAGCACGTGCTTGAGTATATCAGACATCTTCAGGAACTGCAAGTTGTATCTGCGATAAGAGAGAATTCCGGATTGTACTCCTTTAATTCCATTCCGGATTCTGGGGGGCATTGAAAATTTTAAAAACTTGTGGGGCGGGGGCATCGAAAATTTACCAACAAGCTCAACAGGGGCGCTGTAAAAATGCGAGCTTTTTTCAAGACATCTTCATCCCCCGGCGTAATAAATGTACTTTCCCTTAGATCGGTAAAAATCCGCATGCTTCATACAAAAATATCTTGTACCCCATAAGATTTACAAATGATTGAATCTATTTCCACTGTAGATTACTGACCACATCAGAGTTTCAATAACAATGGGAAAACATGGCTGGATTACGAAATTTACCGCACTTCGCTCCTTCTTGGCCGGTTGTGAAATGTATTTTATTGCACCCACCGCGTGGACTTATATCAAATCTCTGCATCAAACCAAGTTTTTTCTGGCTTTAGTGTTGTCTGCGTTCAACTTTGGTGTAATCATTGCTGCACCTCTATCTGGATTCCTAACAGATCGACTTGGAAATCCAAGGTTTATCTTCATTTGCTCATGTGTAACGAAAGTGTTCGCTTCGGTGATGTATAGTATTAATCTGAGTGAGTATTTCCCACTTTTTGGAAGGCTGATAAGTGGATTAAGTGATATGGGTCTTGCAGTTCTTTTTGGACAAATTGCATTACAGACCGACAAAGAAAGTCGTGGGGGAAACTTTGTACTCTTAGAAGGTGCATATTGTCTTGGTTCTACATTTGGTCCGGGAATTGGAAGTTTTATTGTATTTCGGGCCAATATACTTGGTTGGCAAATAAATGAGGGCAATTCACCTGGGATCGTGTTGTCAATAATATGGCTTCTTTTCCTCATTTTTTCGCTGCTCTTACCCAACGACATTTGGATAGCGACCGGTGCCCGCAATATGAAACTGGATTCAGTTTCTAGTGACGACGAAGCCGACCAAGCATTGCAGAGTAAACGTAATCAAGAGCGAAGATTGACCCGGTATAGTCCTGAGGAGAAGACGTGCATAATATCATGGGACTTGAGAATTTTTGGCCTGCTTTTTCTAATATTCTGCAGCGAGGCATTGTCAAGTACATCTACATTCTTTGTTCCAGTAGTAGCATTGGATCATTTTCATCTACAACTTATTCACACCAAGTTGATGTTCTTGAATTGTACCTTATTTACACTGCTAGTGTTAATTTGTCTTTATCTTGCTTCAGAATATATTGAAGAACGAAAGCTCTTTGTAGTTGCATTATTTATGCAAATTATTGCTCTGTCACTTCTCACGTCTTTGGCTTTCTCCTGGAATCAAGTAACTGATGCTCAATGGTATATTCTACTTTTATACATTTGTCTAGGTATGCCATATTTTGCATTTCCATTAGGAAATTCAATTCTCTCAAAGATCACCGACCCTCGGAATGCAACATTTATTCAAGGTTTATCCTATGGATTTCTGCATTCGGCTATTGTAATAAATCGCGTTGTGGTTAGTTTCGTGTTTACGAAAACGAGTTTGCTGTGTTACTGCTTTGGTATGGTTACCCTTTGGTTAGTAGGTGTTATTTGGTATGGTACACTATACAGAAGAATGGTTCCAAACGTCTGAAGGAAAACAAATGATTGCTACTGATGTTGTATTTCTCGACTTCAGTAAAACGTTTGACAGCGTACCACGTGAACTTTTTTGTACAAACTGGAACAGCATACTGCAGGAGGGTCACTCTCCTCCGCAGAGTCTGAATTATATAGGATTTGTAGGGATAGTAGAGGATATTTAGTGGTGCGCGACGGGGGTGGGGGGTGAGATCGATGGTTGACAAACGTAGCTTCCGTCTTCCCATCATACCTTGCGTAATTTGTCCCCCCCTTAATATTACGCAATTTTACTAAAAATTCGTAAGGCTCTGCGGAGGAGAGTGCAGGAGGGTCGTTAAAAATTATTTAAAAATTTCCTTATCGATCTTAAACGGATGGTAATAGTTAGAAAGACTATAATAGTATTCTTCTTGGACTAGTGTAAAATGTGGAATACTCCAAGGAACAATTTTAGGTTTATTCTATTCTTAATCTATACAGTATAAATATGATCTACCTAATAATATAGAAAATAAAGTAAAGTTATTTGCAGACGACACTCGGTGAATGTAAAAGGCCGGATGTCACGCGGAATGGAATGCGGACTGACTTTTGTGACAATTTTAGTTTGTGACATTCCTATGACATTTAAAATCCAATTCAAACACTCATAAATAATTCATAAGCTTATTGGCAAATCATGTCAACCATAATATGTCACGTGAAGAGGCTTTATACCTGATAAAACTCATCTTCATTAGTTTATTAGTGTTCTTTATATAAAGAATACTAATGAGATGGCATCTTTGTAGTCGTGTTTTGTCATAGTCTAAAATGCTCTTGCTGCGCACTCCCATTTTAAATATGATTAAGCACTCCTGCTCGTGTTTTAAACAGTACTTAATCACGCTATTATTGTAACTTATTGTATAAAATTTATGAGAGATGTGCATGCTTCTTGAGTAAAAGCAAGTTCCTTGGCAAACAACAGAAGCCCTGGTCACATTCCGTCCAAGTCTGGTTTTTCGTTTTCATTTGGTCGTAGCTATCGCGAGTCTTGTGTCCAACTAATATTTGGCGTTGTAAAAGAGTTTGCATTTACCATTCTTGTGTTTTGTTAGTTGTATATACAATTTTCATAATACAGAGCGTTAAATATTATTTTTTATGTGCATGCCTTTTGGAATTGTTATAAAATTACATTTAAAATGAATATACCTCGCAATTTGATACTCAAGAACGGCAGAGAAACGTCGTGGAATTTACAGGTAAACTACGTGAAGCGTTCCTCTTTTGAGTTTCTAAATTGATTGCAATTTTCCTCATTACTTTTGCAGTTTAAAAAACTCCCTTGCAAATTCCTTGAGGGAATTTGCAATGTTGCTAAAAGCCAAAAAATTTTCCTCAGTTCCTGTTACAAGTTCTTAACTTCCTGTTACAAGTTCCTAACTTCCTGTTCTGTTCTGCGTGTTGCAATTGGCTAACAAAAATAATCGACCAATAACAACGCTCATATCAGAACAGGAAGTTAGGAAATTAAAACAGGAAGTTAGGAAAATTTAAAATGAAGTTTGGAATATTGCAACAGCCGATAGGAACATTGCAAATTCCCTCAAGGGATTTGCAAAAGTTTTTCAAATTTGCAAAGCTAATGAGGAAAATTCTAAATGAGTTACGAACTCAAAAGAGGAACGCTTCACGTAGTTTACCTGTAAATTGTCACGAAAAAATGTCTGGGAACTGATTTGCATTCGCTGTGTTTCGCACTCATTCCGCCTTTTACATTCACCGGAAGTCACTAGACGACACCAAGGTTTATCGTGAACCGCAATGACGGAGATAGTGATGGAGAAGTACTTCAATTAGACCTAGATAAAATGAATAATTGGACTAAAGTTTGGCAATGACGCTTCAATCCTGAAAAGTATGACGTGATGTAACTGTGGGATAACGCATCGACAAGATTTTTCAGTTACTGAATATTATTTATCGGGAGTTTTCATATGAAAATCTTCACACTGTGTCCCATTTTAAAATTTCACAACGTTTTTCTGCTTCAAAGCTGCTCTGTAGACTCTTTTTTGTACCCTTTGTAAGGCTTGTACGTCCGAGGGGCCTTTCACTCCAAAAATCCTGCATTACTATCCCTAAAAATCCGGAAAACTAGATCCGGTTCTATTTGAAAAACGTCAAAATCCAATTTTAAAAACCATTCGAAGTCTAAAAAATCCAAAAAAATATCTGGGAGAAATTTTAAAAAATCCGGAAAAGCCCAAACATTTCTTTTAAAAATCCACTAAAAAATCCGCGGAATCAGCCTTTCTCACGCTGCCCGATTTTTGGGTGGCTTTTCAGCCGACGTCTGCGAGACAAGTCCACATAACAGCGACTTTTTATAATTTTTTGGACGAATGATGGTAAATTTGCTTTGTAAATAGTTAGTTTATTTTGAAAAATTGCTTTTCACATTGTTTTAATTGTCTGCAATGGGTAACGAGAATTAGATGCCACCCAAAAATGGCGGATATTCGTCATCGTGAGAAAGGCTAATTGACTGAAATGCCCCTCGTCTTTAATTAATTATTTAAAGACCATGTCAAGTCCGTAATGTAAACAAATCCTTTGTAATCCCTATAATTGTAAAATAAGACATACCATGGTTAATAGACGTAGATGGTTAGGCTAGCCGGCAAACTGCAAAGAGAGCGGCAAATTATGTCGAGAACCACTTTTATTTGTGTAGCCTGCGTAGCGGCTCTCAGAAAAAGGAGAGCCTGCACGAAACCCCATGCTTTACCATTTCCGCCCACTTAGCCTGCGGGCTACGCCCACTTTAAACAGATGTCAAAATTGGCCAATCACACAGATTGTTTACGTTTGCAAATTTACTGTATGTTCGCAAATTTCAAAACGAAATAATATACGGATGTCGGCTAATGAAAATTGAAGTCTGGGAATAGCGCTAGGCCTAGGGCAATCTCCAGAGGGCAATCTCCATCGTTGTCACAAGTAGTTTGCAATCCGTACATCTAGAGAGTCCTGAAGGGGTAAAATGGGAACTGGGGTTTGCTTATTTTTGGGTGGGGAAATGAGATTTCATGCACTGGGACTGGGATACATCAGCAAAAAACAATAGAATATGGGAATGGGATTGAGATTTGAGCAGGACAGCCACTGAGATGATGGGATTTGTGCTCTGGGACAATGGGATTTAGTCAAAATTTGGGCTGGGAAATGGGAATACGACCCCCCCCCCCCTTCAGGACCCTCTATCTACGATATTTCGTAGCTTTCTCGCACACATACATATATAATTTATAGTTTTGACAGCGGTCAACCGTGATGTATTAAATGTTATTAATTTAAAGTTTCGAGCGATGCAGAGAAGAGAATATTAAAGGTGTCTAAAGCCATCACTTCAGAGAGAGCAAGTCCTGTTCATAAAGACATAAGCATTCACAGCAATTCTCTCCTGGCACAAACTTATTAGCTACAAATCATGAAGAAAAAATGTATTTGTCGTCGATGAATTGATGAAAACGAACACGCTTGTGAAAGAGGCGCTGCTAACAGACAGCTGAATCCAACGAAGACACCACAGTCAATATCTGTAGAGCTTCGTGAACCAAGTTCGTAAATACCTTTAATTATTGTTGAACCGTAAATCGTGGCCTTTAAGCTCTTTTGAATGCAAAACTCGAAGAAACGCCTCTCAGTAATACATTCGCCGTGTTTGTATGAATTTTAGCATAAATTAGCATTTTTTTTCATTTTGAACCAATCAGATTTCTCGTCCTCTGAGAGAACGAGTGAATACGGCAAAGCATGGGGTTTCGTGCAGGCTGTCCTTTCTCCGTGATAGCCGTAGACTTGCTCCAAGTCTCTCTTTCATTTCATATCGATCCACTAAAGTGTACATTACATAACGTAGCACGGAGAGGCGGAGCGAGAAAGCGAGACTTGTCAACTTCGGCCAATCTCGGTTCAAAACTGAATCGAAAATGCAAGACTTGCTTTAATAATTGTTTTCCTTCAATTTCTTTCTGTATTATTTACTATATTGGAACTCATGTTATTTACACTGTGCTAGATCAATACATATAAACACTGACAGAAAACAATTAAAGCAAGTCTTGCATTTTCGGTTCAGTTTTGAACCGAGATTTTCCGAAGTTGACAAGTCTTTCTTTCTCGCTCTGCCCCTCCGTGCTACGTCATGTAATGTGCACTATAGTGGACCGATACTATATGACAATAAAGAGAGAGGAGCAAGTCTAGAATAATCCAAGATGGCAGACAGCTCACTGATTTATGATATAAATGAAAATATTTCAAGAACTAATAAACAACATTTGAAGAAACTGTAAATAAGTTTTTCACATAATTTTAAAAGCTCTTTCAAATAAAAGAAACTATTTTTTATTGCCATATCCTTTAATAGGTAAAGTTGTCAGCGATGTAACTTAGCGCTTGCCCGCTTGCCGGGGCAAGTAAAATCATTACGGGCAAATTGTTTTAATGTTTTTGCCAGAAATGAAATGCTACGCAAAATTGTTTGCTTGTTTATGTTATGCGTTCTGTTTTTGATTCATTATTAGTTGATCAGCTGAAATCAACACTCCATGAAGTCTCCAAATGATTTTGTTACAAAAAATTGATATTAGAATTAATGTTGACCAATCAATTAAGGCCGGTTTCCATTGCAGTCGCTTTGCCCGCGTGGGCGGAGCGGGCTTTGAAAATCTGCTTACGCGGGCGTGACGGGCGTCAAAAGCAATGAACGCTTGGCCCGCGCGGGCAAAGCGAACGTTAATGAAAATGGCCTTTAAGCGGGTCGAATTTTGCGCGCGGAGCGGAATTTTTCTTTGTCTTGTCTAATTATAGTTCCATCCAAGAAATCACAAGACAAAGAAAAATTCCGCTCCGCGCGCAAAATTCCGCTTAATGAAAACCGGCTTTACTGCAATCATTCGCTTCAACTTTTGCTAATATGTGAAAACAAAACTAAACCTGATGGCAAGTGAATTTTACTCCGGGCAACTAATTTTCATGTGTAACTTGCCCTAATCGCAAGTGGTAAAAACAGTTAAGTTACACCACTGGGCACTGGTTGTATTCTAGTTTATTCACACGTCATTACCTTGCCCAAAAAAAGGTTTGGCGACCAAATTCTCCACTAAAATTCCTCGTGCAGTATTTTCGGACTGCTTGCCATGCTGCTGCCCGTAAATAATTTATAGTTTGTGATCATTTCTTTTTCGCTTAGTTCGCCATTGTGGTCTGAGTCGGCTACAGACATGAGATAATCGGCTTCTTTAACTGCATGTTGCTTATGCCTTGGATCTAGGTATTGTATGAGCTCTTCCATTGAAACTTTCGTGTCTTTGTCGACGTCCATTTGTTCAGAAAATTCGCTTCTTCTCCTGTCGATATTTAAAGAAGAATTAAAAACTCTTTCTCGTCTGAGGATTCTCACGTGACAAATTTGGCTAACGTTTGTTTATAACCAATTCACAACTTTAGATCACATGCCTAGGTAGCTATTGTTCTAGTGCTTCTGTAGAAGCATAAAATAGAACAAAGGTACAGTACCTAAGTTTTAGAATTATCTAATTGAGAATAACTCTTATACGAAAACGAGGCTGAATAGCCAAGGTGCGTATTACAGTAACTATGTAGTAGTACAATCATTGATTTAATGGATGATTTGAGCTTTTGACGAAATTTTGATCTAAACAAGAAGAACGAAACCATTACCATATTGCTAGCCTGCGTAGCAGGCGTTTAGTACGGGCGGGAAAAGAGGAAACGCCTGCCCAAATGGCTATGACAAATTTGTTTTCGCCCATTAAGGATGATTGACGTTTTGTAATTAGCACCTTCACCCATTATCCAATCATAGTCGAGATTTATATTTAGCATCATGCATGCTTTTTACTCGGCAACTAGGAAGATTTGCAGAGATTTTATGTACCATTTAAAACATGAGCAGCAGTGTTTTATCTGATAAAACACGCACTGCGAATGTTTTTAAATTGCTTCAAAAACGTTGTGTATGTAGAGAAAATCGAGAGCGCGAGCAAAATTATTGTTGGCATTTGAATTACGTAATTACTTCCGTTAACAAGATTGACCAATGGGAAGCTTTTCCGAAGATTCTTCGAAGAACAAATTAATCATAGGCATTTGGGCAGGCGTTTTAATATTTAACGACGCCCTCTCTTCTCCCGCCCGCACTAAACGCCTGCTACAAGGGCTACCATATTGCTGGAAAGAGCATCTTAAAATGAGTAAAATTGCAAAGTTTGGTTGCGAATTGTTGTAAAATGAGGAAAATATAGCCGTGTATACAATCTTTGCAGTTTTACTCATTCTAAGATGCTCTTTCTAGACGTGGTGTTGGATTTCGTTCTTCTTGCCTTGATAAAAATTTAGTCTTCAGCTGAAATCATCCATTGGAACTTAGTTGTTACGTACTCATTAAAATATCTGTCATCTTCGGCTTTTTCCTCTGGGTCATCCACCTCGCCTGGTGGAACACGAACAAATTCATCCACAGACAACTTCTAAAAATATTAATTTTAATAAATTATGTTTATAAATAACTGGAACAATCTGGATGCAATTTATGAGAAACGTGGAACAATCAAACATTTTATGAAAACGTTGTATAAGCATTATCTTGCTATTTTAGTGAATTATTAAATATTAGATATATTCTTATAAGAGGAGAGTGGGCAGTAAGGCTTCTTCATGCACCAATCCATGAAAAATCTGCACCCCTCTTTGCAGATGAGGCCAGATCCGCCTCTGCGGGGCATTACTTACCAGATCTCTGTCGTCATCCATCTGCGCCATGAGGTCTTCAGCCATTGCCTCAATTGACTGTTCATTATGTTCTGGATGTTGAAATGATAGAAATTCATCTTGACTTAACTTTGAGTCTTTGTTTCTGTCTGCTTTGTTCCATCTCTTTAGATCTTCAGACATTATCTCTTCCATTAAACCTTTTAATTCCTCTTCTGCAAATGTTTTGGTAACCCAATGAGATTTTTTCTCTATCATGTCACCCTGGGCAGTGATTCAGCCAGTGGGTCAGTCAGTAAAATTGGTCTGCTACTGTAGTTACTTGGTTGGACAGTCAGTCAGATGGTACATCAGACAGTCAATGTGTTGGTCAACCACCATCACCACCATCATCACTACCATCATCACCAATATCACCAACACTATCACCAGCATCACCATCATCATCACCACCACAACCACTAACACCACCATCACTAACACCACCATCATCACCACCATCATCACTAACACCACCATCACTAACACCACCATCATCACCATCATCATCACCACCACTAACACCACCATCACTAACACCACCATCATCACCATCATCATCACTAACACCACCATCATCACCATCATCATCACTAACACCACCATCATCACCATCACCACCATCATCATCACCACCACTAACACCACGATCACTAACACCACCATCATCACCAGCACCACCAGTACCACCACCATCATCATCACCACCACCACTAACACCACCACCACTAACACCACCATCATCATCATCACTATCATCATCACTACCACTAACATCACCACTACCATCACTAACACCATCACCATCACCAACATCATCATCCCCATCATGACCACCTTCACAACCACCATCATCACCACAGTACCATCATCATCACCACCATACCCACCACCATTATCATAATCACCACATCCCCTACCACCATAATCATCAACACATCACCATTATCACCACCATCATCATCCTCGCCACCACCATCACCATTAAAAGGTTATTTAAGGAAGGTTAAGTATTTACAAAATCTACAACTAAATAAATGCAAATATTTTGTAATCTAACACATACCTGCCAATATCAGCAGGTAACCAGGTTACGCAGTTTTACAAGTTGGCACTATAGGCTAGAGCACTACATACACAGTCTAAATTCTTCATACTTATACATTCAAAAACCCAAAAAAACTAAACGTTAATCAAACCTGATTGCTCTCCAAGTTTCAAAGCATCATTTTCAACCTGATCATCTTTGGTCAAGCCTTGCATGTACTCACGTAAGCTCAAAATCCCGTCATTATTCTGGTCCGCTTTTTTAAAATTATCATTATTCACTTTCAATGCATAGTCGTAATGCTCCTGGATTCTTTCATGTATCCACTTGGCCAGCTCTTGTCTATCAACGTTGTGGTTTCCATTTATGTCTACTTTATGAAAAATCTCGATCAACTTTTTCGAACCGTCCAAGTCTTTTAGGTTAAGTTTGCCCTCGTCAACAAGTCGCCCCAAGAATGCTTCGTGGTGAAATACGGGATTAATATGACCGTCTCGTTCCAGTTTAACTGCGGGGATATGGTCTTGTGGTAACAGGCCTTTGTTTAATATCTTTACACCGCTTTTGTTGACCGGTTTGCTTGTTATTTTTGAGAATAAAATAGTCAAAACAAAAACGACTCTTTTGAAGGACGCCATCTTGCTTTCGTGGCAACAACAAATAAAACCCATCCATCAAATTGCCATGCTGGGATGAACTGTTTATAAAATATTAATTAATATTTTCAAAAGTCATAAAAGGCTATTTGCCTATTTTTGTTCATATTTTTCAATAAACACATTAAATAAACGTAATAATAACAACTTTTAACAAAACCCCGAACGATTTAATAGGCTTTTTGTATGAAAGTAAATAAAAAAGCTCAAAAGCTGTCATTTTTGTGTATTTTTTCTCTCCGTATACGGACGGAAAGTATTTTGATGTATCCAGTTTAACTAATTTATACAAATAGCATTTATGTAAATTCCTGCAACAAATACATACACGTGTAATTTAAACATCTAATAGAAGCAAGGAAACCATTTTAAAATGTTTTGTTGTTCAATTACCTGGTTCATCGTCACCGCATTATGCGTTTTCTTCGTTCCGTTAACTTTGCTGCTTTATTTGACTGGAAACATCGCGCTTCTACCCGAAGTAATCAAAATTCTGCTGATTACAGTGTGGTGCTATATAGAGGCATTGCTCAATTGGATTGCGCCTCGCAAACGCAAAAGTATTGAAGGGTTCACGGCGGTTGTTACGGGCGCAGGGCATGGAATTGGCAGGGAGATTGCATTGGCTCTTGCAAGTAAAGGTGGGACTTCTATATATTATTGACTTCGATTCATCTGAAATATATAAAGATCGAGGCATCATCCGTGTAATCACAGAGTATAAACTATATGGCCTATACAGAGGTCCAACTCCTTGTCGGCGGAGAATCTTGTCAAGGGGAGAATCTTGCACTCCGATGGGTTAAGCCATAAAATACTCTATTGCATCCTATTGTGTCTTTTTACTTTGTCCAATGTCAGAAAATTTTATTGAGCAAGTGTTGGTCCTAATTAATGGTTTACCAGGCTATCTGGCAATGAATCTTGTTAACTTATTAGCCAGGACCTGCCCTGGTGTCAGACAACTTTAGTCAATAGTCATCAAGAGGAAAACATTGAATGTTAACGAGTTAACAAGAGCAAAAAACAGTACCTATTAATAGGTAACTTTTTAATAGGTAACGACTTATTACTCGCTGGGGCACTCTGTGCCCTGGCGAGTATAGGTTTCGGCACGCATTTTTAGTGGATCAGCAATAGTGGATCAGCAATAGTGGATCAGCAATGGTGGATCAGCAATAGTGGATCTCCAATTTTCTTCGATAGCCACAAAATAGAATATTAATGAGCTGCCTAATATCAAAATGGCGGCCTTTCGTGGAGTGGGCAAAATATTTCAAAAAATTTCGTTAAAATTTTTAACGAATTGTACCTGTTTTTTATGGATTTTGCATTGTGTCTAACTCTAGACATTCTTGCTAGTTTAGTTAATGCATTTTTCTTGGTGCACGGCTCTGAAAATCCGAAATTTGGATCGTCGAATTCCCATGTACGATCTTAATTTCATATAATATACTGAATCTGGATATAAACGAGCCAAAGGCAAAGACAATTTCAAGGTAAAAGGTTATAACTTACAGTAAACTACACCACGTAGTTTTAATAGATAACTACTTTATGAGAAGCATATTAGTGTCATATCAATATAAAATTTATCCAACAACAGTCTCTATTAAGTAGTTATTAGTTAGTAGCTGTGGAAACGCGGTGAAAACTGTAGTGTGAAATATAATGTTTCGTAATGCCTAATGGCGCAACAAAGATAAAAATACCAACGTTCGATTCAGCGTAAGAAATTGTACTTACGGATGTCAAATCTATTACTAAACAACAGTATTCTAGCGATTTATGGCCATTCAAAATCAAGCGAAATTGTATTGTTTACAAATCGCTCGCAGTGCGTTTTCATGTTGACACTCACTCGCAGTACTACGTTTGTCCTTGACCTTGTACTAAGTTGTATCAATGCCTAATGGCGCAATAAAGATAAAAAATACCACCGTTCGATTCAGCGTAAGAAATTGTACTTACGGGTGTCAAATGTATCACTAAACAACAGTATTCTAGCGATTTATGGCCTTTATCTTTAAAATCCAAGCGAAATTGTGTTGCGAACGAATCGCTCAAAACTATTCAACTAATTATAAAAAATGCAGTACGTTTGATCCTTGATAACTTTGGTATCGTTGGTTTTCTCTTTTTCGGCCGTATACCAGTGGATTTGTCTCACTTTTCTCTTCATTTTGATAGTATTTTGAGCCCAAAAGCCCCAAAATATTTTATTTTGAACGTAATTTTATTTTGAACGCGCAGTTTAATCCTAGCCGGTGGAAACGCCGGAAGTTTTATTTGCATGTCTGATTGTATAAAATCCTGAACTGGGTCATTATATTAACAGAAACTTCAAAACTGAGCCTCCTACCTGCAATACAAACCTAGCCAATTTGAGAGCGGCAGCACTCTCTCTTTGACAAGCAAAATCGACTGGTATGGGACATTAAACTAATAAAGTAGGGTGCATGATTGCATTGGGGCACAATGCAAGTCAGTGGGATATAAATAACAATATTATAACATAGTATTCACCTAAATAGACAGAGCAGTGTTATATATGGTGATATAGTTCAAAACAGAGTGAACAAAACTACTAAAACTGTAACTGAAAAGTTTAATCTTCAACCCTTTCGCGCTCGTATTCGACTTTTCCGCTTAGCTCGGGACAACCGAGGGATAACCTTAAATCTTAATTAAAACAAGTGTATACTGCGGCATGTAGTAAAACACTGACTACCGGAACACCGGAACACCACCGGAACACCGCCGGAACACCGCCGGAACACCGCCGGAACACCGCCGGAACACCGCCGGAACACCGCCGGAACACCGCCGGAACACCGCTGGAACATCGCCGGAACACCACCGGAACACCACCTAACCCTAACCCCAACCCTAACCCTAACCCCAAATCCTAACCCCAAACAAAATGGTGGTGTTCCGGTGGTGTTCCGGTAGTCAGTCTTTTACTACATGCCGTATACGGCATGCATGCATGCATGTATCATATACGGTAATGTGCGTGTTTGTATAGCCCCAGCGAGTTAACGCTCTATAGAGCGTCTTGTTGTTGTGAAATTCACTTTGTTTGAGCTGTAGAGTTGCCTTATATGATTTCAAGGCATCGCGGTAGTTTTTTCTAAGTTCAACATTTGTAGGATCTATATGTTTTAAATTAGATAATTTCCTTAAATCATGTCGTTTGATTCTACAGTCTTTATCAAACCATTTCTTTTGAGCAATGTTAGAGATTTTTCTTCTTCGTTTGCACTTTTTAATTTTCAAACTTTTTTTCGATGTTTCGAGTAAGATGTTTTGGAATTCAGTTACACATTGGTTTGCTCCGTTCAAATCATTTGTGAAATCTGAGTTCATAAATTCATTCAATTTCTTTTGCATTTCTTGTGATCTTAATGATTCTCTAAAGTTATTTTTAGAGTGGTTATCCCAAATGTATTGGTTTGGTAATTTAGTCATTTCAATATTACATCCAGGATTGGTATCTGGTTTTTCGTTTGTCTGACCAATACCAACCCATGTTACAATTTGACTATGGTCAGATAGGTATGTTGGTGGTTTTACAACAAAGTAATTAGTATTTCTAAATAATTCCTGATCACATATGATGTAATCGACTACACTTATACCATTGTTACCATGGAAAGTAGCTCGTCCAAAGGAATCACCTTTTGTGCGTCCGTTTAAAATGTTCATGTTACAGTTTATACATAGATTAATTAACTGTTTACCATGGTTATTAATTTGGTGGTCGAAATTTAATCTGTTTTTTGGTTGCAAGCAATTTTCACTAGTGTCATTTATAAAATTGTTGCCATCTTTAGAGATAAAGTCTTCGAGTGTATTGGTTCTAGCATTAAAATCACCAAGGATCATTATGTTTCCTTTTGATGAAAATTGTATAATATCATTTTCTAATTCATCAAAAATTTCATTTTCAAAATAAACAGATTTTTCTGGTGGAATATACACACCACATACAAATAGATAATTTTTTGCATTTAACACATCTTTTGATATTTTGCACCATAGAAAATTTTTCGACTTTTTAACAATTGAAGTAAATTTTTCAAACTTGGTTCTGGTTAGTAGAGTGATACCACCCGATTTGCAACATGCCCAGTTGGTATGAGGTTTTGCAGTATCAGAGACAAAAGACCTGAAATCAGGAACATCTATATTTGAGTTAAACCAAGTTTCAGTGAGGAAAATTAAATCTATATTATTAATATGGTCAATGAAGTCCTTGTTTTTTAGTTTTCCCACCAAGGACAACATTTGAAATACCATGGATGTTCCAGGTACTGAATAAGTTTGTAGACATTTATAAAAAAAAACTAATAAGCTGGTTATCTACAGAATGACCAGGCATTTTCTAATGTACTAAATATTAGGTTATCAAAATCTATATATAATAATTAGCAGAAAAGGGGAAGTATATAGAAGATAATTAAGTTCATTATACTCAAGTGTTGCATAATTGTCTTACAACTATTAGATATCATTCTTATGATATATAATTTGCTATTAATTAACATACCTATGTAGGTCCTTGATTAGCTGTATCAGTTGTATTGGTATTTCTTGTTTTCTTTTATCATTTGCAAGTCTTGCTTCTTGGTTCCCAAGGAGCATTGTCAGTTTTGGGATCGTTTGTTGATGATATGTCGAGGGATATTGATTATGGTTATAAGGACGTTTTTGGTTAGAACTTTGCTGAGGGAAACTTGCTGGTGGAGAGTGAGGAGGATGAAAAGGAGTAGACTGGTGGTGAGGATTAAAGGGGAAGAAGGGTCAGTTATATGGGATCTGAGAATTTGGAAAATTCTTTCTTGGTTTGTATGGATTCTTAAAATATGCACGTTTCAGGCTCTGAGCGAAACACTTGACTCCAACATCATTGAGATGTTTCTTGTCTTTCAGGTGGTATTTGGAGTCGATGTTGGGGTGTCTGACAAAGGTGATGTTTTTCTTTGTAGATAATGACTTCTCCAAAATATTGTTCAAGGTCATTCCCCTCTTGTCTAATTCATCACTTCTTGGGAGAATGGATGAAAAAATTATGTGGGAGTCTGGGTGCTTAGTTTGGATAAGTTCCACAGTGTCAGTTGCATTCTTTGTGAGTGCCTCATTTGTATCTGAGTGTTCTAAGTCATTTGTTCCAGTGTGGATAATGAAGGATTTAGGTGAGGTATATGTAGTACTGTTTATTATTGATTTTGCTTGTGCAAGGGTGGCACATCGAGTATAGCTTGTTTTGCTGTTGGGGCATAATAATGAAGGGTTTAGATGTCGGCCATAACTATCACAAATTTAATATTGTATCAGCTTCATTCCTTGCGTTGTTTTGGTCCAATGGAACGGATTGCTGTTTTGAGGGGGATTTGTGTGTAGGTTCTCCAATGATGGATTCATCTGAGAGGGACAGGAATTTGTTTGAAGTGGGGATGTCGGCTTCCGATGCAGGGGAGTTCGATTCGATTCTTACATCATTGACTCTGCTTTCGATACTCTTGTTAAATGCTGCCAGTTTACCTATTAACATCGAGTTTTTCTCTTCAAGAGATTTATATTTATGATGCATTTTCTTTAATTCCTCTTCCATTTCTGAACTCATTTTCCAAATTTTTAATTTGGATATCTTTGTCGAATATGGTTGTGCTCAGTTCTGTGATGGTTTTGTTTGTATTTTGTTTAAACTCGATGAAGTCTGCCTCACGGGTTGCCAAATTGGTCTTAACAGTATTAATCAGGGGTCTTTCTTTAGGTGAATGGTTTATGCTGCTATCCAAAGGAATAGGATGATCATGATCAGGTTGTTGAGTATACATATATAGGTTTCATTTTTTTTCGGAAAAAAAAAACTTGTTAAAAGTAATTGACCCTTGAGGTCAAGATTAAGGAAAAAATTACATGATTGTTCGTATGGTGATATGTGTTGTGCTTCTTGGTCATATTGTTGTCATTTTATACATTTTGCGAAGAAAGCTATGTGTTGTCTATTTTTTTATTTCAGAAAGGGTCTTGCTCGCAATTCCTTATCAATACAGCAACAAAAATATACAAATTACTGCATTTTGAAACCAAAAGAGTCAATGTTCAAATTACATGAATAAACACACAAAGACTGTACTGAAATATAGTTTTCTTACCATACAGTGAATTTGAGATGACTGAAAACAGGAATTTCACTCTGTTTTTGCTGCATTTCCAAAGGAAAACCTATTGTAAATAAAAGTGCATGTTTCAAATATATGCTGTCTCTGAGACCTATTTTTATATTCAGAAAACACTTTCAAAATTTTATTTTTTTACTTACTGAAGCTTTGTGGTAGTTCCTTTTACATCTTTTTGTGGCCAGTAAATTGTAATTTCTTGTTATTTGCAGTGGCTGTAGTATTGTAGAGGTGTCTTTAATGTTTTCACACAGAAACGACAGCTGGCCAGGCAACTAAAAAAAGAGTGGATTTCCCCACTGATATCAGTTTTCATCCATTGGCTGTGAATTTTATAGGCCAATGAAATCTTGCTTTCGTCATTTAAAAAAAAAACACCAGTATCAGGCAGCGGGCATCTTGAAAAGTCACATCCGCATAGTCACAGCGAAAAGTTCATCACAACACGAAAAACTTTGCTCAATTTTTGTTAGTTGTGTTAGATTACTTTGTCGTGATTTTGTATCAAATTGCAGTGTCATTCGCTACAAACCGGGAATCTTGGTGTATGTATAAAATATCTCGTCGTTGTGCTGGTATTCGCTTGAAACTTTCTAAGTGAACTATAAATTGTGTTCCTGATCTCGTGAGTAAATTTTATATCATTTGGATGTATTGTTTGTGATTTATTGCACTTTTAATATTTTGACAGTTGGAACTTTAAATTCAAATCTTGTCTAGCGTCGCCTTCCATAACAACAACTTTGTGGCGTTGTATCTTGGTTTTGGGCCTTTAAAATGAACTTTATATTTTTTATTTGTGTTTATCTCATAACAGTAACATTTTCATTTATGTTTTATTTCTATTGGCGGAATATTTGTGATTCATCTAAACTCTAAAGTCTAGCTTGTGGTTGTTACGTGGCATGGATATATTAATTTAAACATTCATTTATTGGTATGAAATAGGTAATTGGACAAGTACTGGTGTAAGACATTGTGTAGCCTAAATAATGAGGACCAGTAGTTCAAATGTTTATCCTTTATTTATTTACTCCGACTCCTGTGATGGTGGACATGTACGCAAAAAACAAGGGAAACTAGATAGTAACTGAATATGTGAATTTTATGTGACATGATGAGGGCAAGGATATATAAGAGCGAGAGATTGAATTGGAGTAGGAAAGGCAACCCTGTACGCGCTTCGACCTAATAGTCTTCTTCAGCAGGGTTTTTTTAAGGGGGTGTAGATAGAGTTTGCAGAGTGAAACTAGAATGCAGGAAAGTTTAGGAGCACTGAACATATGTGAAACCAGAGAAAACAATTACGAAGTTATAATGAATTACACAATACAAAAATGAAGGTTGAAAGAAAGTGAAAAGGATGAAATTACTGAATATGTTATTAGTAAAATTATCCTACCAACCCTTACCAAACTGACATATATGTAAAATGTCTGCAAGTATCTGTCACATATCTGTTGCAGTACTGCAGCATAACTGCAACAATGTCTACAATATCTGCAAAATATCTGCATAAAAGTTGCAGATATTTTGCAGATATGTTGATTATCTGTTAACATATCTGCAAAATATCTGCATAAGTGTTGCAGATATTTGCAGATATGTCAATTGTCTGTCAAAATATCTGTGAAATATCTGCATAAAAATTGCAGATATTTGCAGATATGTCAATTGTCTGTCAAAATATCTGCATAAAAATTGCAGGTATATGTAGATATGCCAATCGTCTGTCAATATAGTTATACAGTATCTGTAACTACACAGCAAAAAATAATTTCTTATTGACCAGTATGGCGAAGGTTCCATTATTTAAAACTCTTTATAAATTACAACAAAAAATCTAAAATGTGAAACGAAATAACAGAAAAGTGAAAATGGCATCATTTCAAGCTGAGTTTTCAGATCATTTAGATTGCGAAGAAGAGTTGGAGGATATGTTGACATCTACAACAAACGAAGTTCAAATACAAAAAAGAGTTTTTAACATTGAAGATGAAGAAGCCACAGTCATTCCGAAAAAAATACCTGCCAAAAATTCGAGTCTTTCGAGAAGCAGAAACATACTATCATTTTTTCAAGGTACCAGTGGTGTTACATCTAGTGCAAATTCCGAAACCCCTACTAGTGAATTAAGTGAAACTGAAAGTAGTGCAGTAATCGAGCATGAGGTGGCTGTTTCCAGCAAGCACAGCACAGAAACTGGCAGTCCCAGATCAAAAGCGGCAGGGACCGCAAAACTGCCAAAAAGGGATTATTCGAAATATAAACATGTCTGTCTTCTTTGTGCCAAAAATGATACGGCAACTGCAAGGAACTCTGCAGTTCTCACTCGCGGGGGAGATTTCCAAGTTGAAAGGCATCGTAAAAGTCACCACTCTTCTATCTCACTGAAAGACATGAAATCGCATGTTGTACCAATAAATCACATATCGGTTCCACGAAATGTAAGAGAATTAGCAGTACCAAAGCCGTCATCTAAAACCAAAGATAAAACTGGAGCAACCCATGACAATGGTACAATTCAAAAGAACAAAATTTCTTCTGCGATGCCATCTGTATCCAATGATGCACTACCACAAACTGAAAGCAATAAGAGCTTAGCTTCTGAAGGAAATCTTAACGAAAATATTAACAATGATGACATTACGATAACAGCTGGCGAAAATCAGATTCAAAAGGACCTTTCCGATTTTGTCACTGTTACCAGTCAAACATTTGAAGAGAAAATGGTGCATATGATTGAAAAACTAAGTAAAAAAGTCGACAATCTGAAGCAAGTCACGCCTCCAATGGGTCCACGTAATACAGGAACTACCGAAACAGTCAGTGGCCTCCTGATGGATAAATTTAATGAGAACATGAAAGAGCCGTATCTTAAAATGAAAGAATGGAAAAAGGTTGGAAAAATTGTTGAACTGGTAAATGCAATAGATTGTTTAGAACTATATCCCTTGTCCAGTTCAGACCAGGAAGAGTTCGAAGATGGTTCAGGCGCCATACTGAGATGTGAAACATGCTTTTTTCTTAACAAAGATAAGGCTGTGAAGCTCACGCCAGTTAGAGCTGCCAAAAAGCTGGCTGCTGATTGCTCAAGCATTTGCACAGGAAAATATCTGAGTCCAGATAGAATGGAAAGTCTTATGAAGGGTGAAGGAAATTACTGGAGAAAGTTGAAAAGTTCGATTTTGCAGCATATGATATGTGCTAATGATGGCCAAACACATTTCAAAGCTCTTTCTGCTGTCAACGAAGAAAGAAATTTAAAGCAAAAACATTATGATGCTGCTAAAACCTTAGTGAAAAGCATATTAACAGCTGTCAAGGCTAAATCAGCTGCGATACATTATGAACAGCAAGTCACTTTTGCATATTCTGTTGGAGCTCAAATCGGGCAATGTGGACATTCCAGGAAAGTAGTCCCTGATCTTGTCAAGTGTTTACTGCAAGTCATAAACGAGAAGACGAAAGAAGAATTGCTGAAATGCCTCCCAAGCACTGGATTTCCTCCACATTTTTACATGGCAGTCGATAAAGCTACTGTAAACAAAAGAACCAATGAAGCAGTTATTTGTCCAACGATCGATGGCAAGAAAGTTCCAATAGTTGTGGCTGCACCAGAAGTGTATAAACCAACCACAGATGGTGGTGTACAAGGAGGAAAGGCTGACGAATCAGCGTTGCGAGCACTAAAGCAAATTGAAACAAAATTTGGGAGCACAACATTGGATTATTTAGTTGGTAAGTATGTAATATTTTGCGGTATAGCATGTTCTATTTATAAAAGAAACAAGAGAGGCAATATTTTGTTGAATTTTGAGGTAGTAAGCTGAGTTTTTCCCTTACTGTGTTATTGGAATGAACCTATATAAATATGTAACTATTTTTAAATTTTGTTTTCAGGTATATCAGCAGATGGTGTCTACCAGGCGAATGGTTTCCAATCAACTATCAACGACAACAGTGAAAATTTGTTTCTAAAACAGGTCGGTTGGGATGCCTCACATTGGATGAATCTTGCTGTAACTGATGTGAGGGATGGTAAGATTGGTTCATCCAAAGAATTCTTTTCAAAGTTTATTGAACGGACAAACAGATTTTCAGAAGTTCTGAATAGAGGAAAAGGTAGGTTCACCAAATGTTATTATAGCTGTATAGGTTTTTGTTTTCATTACATGTTGAAGAAGCTGTGAGCTGTCCCATTGATTTGCTTGAAAATTGCTTTAGTTCATTTGGTTACGTATTGACAAAGTTGCATTGCATTTCTGTTTTCTATTGAAGGAAGGAGCACACTGGAAGCTGCAGCGAAGGAGCTTAAAGTTGCACCAACTTTGCAACTACCTACTTGCAGACAAGATTTGCAAGTTCTGCTTTTGTTCAATGGGAAAGACTTGTTAAATCGTACAGATTATTTGCCACCGCCTTGAGAAATGCAGCACCTGCAATGACTGACGAGTTGCATCCATTGCAGTACCAAGTTCTGGGGCAGGTTAGAATATGATAACATATTATGCACAATCTCGCAACTGTTGCAATATTAATATTATATTTGTAGGATTTTGTTGTTGATCTATTACTGATGCATGATGTTTTTCAACCGGTTGCGAAAGTGATGACATTGCTGCAAAGTATTTCTCTTCCACCTTGGAAAACGTACCCATATGCTCAGAAATTGGCGAAATGGTTGCTTGATGCCTACATGGAATGTCATGAATTTGGAAATATGGAATACTTTCCAAACATGAACGAAAATATTGAGGTGTTATACGTTATTCCTAAATCCTAACTTTTTTCGCGAACGCATTTTATTTTAGAGTTAGACATAGAGGGATAGCAAAAGGTGACCAGTTGGTATGCATGTTATACAGTAGTCATCTGTCATCGATCTAATGGTTAGTTACATTAATTGTTCAGCTAATTATAGTCATTTGTTTTTTAATGTATGAGAACCTCCTGAATCATGATCCAGAGAGTGAAGATCCTGATGCGGAGCAACCAACATATGAAGGAATCCAGCTTAAATGTGGATGGAAAGTTATTGGAACTGAAAATTTAGCAACCAGTAATGGCAAAAGTAAGCAAGTTCTGACGAACTGGGTCGAGCGCACCATTGAAGATTCTTTCAAGGAAGTCAGCACATTTGCAAGTGATCTATCTGCATCATTTCAAAACTGCATTGAGACCTGTGGGGTAACCGAGGAAGTTGGAAAGGCAAACTTCTTGACATTGAAGAAACATTTCAACTTCTTTGTGGAGAAAGACTGTTAAACGATCATGTTAGAGTGAGAGAAGGCGATCTGGAAGTGTTTGGAGCTGCAAGCTTTGAGTTATTTTTCCTAAGCCACATCAAAGCCAAAGACGATGAGCTCTTTGACGAAAGACTCTCTCGAAATGTGCTACGTCAATGGAAAAGTGCAATCAGGCATTTAGTGTGGGAGAAAGCAATGAAAAATTTGCTTTTATCTTGTCTGAAACCAGTGAATGATAACGGCATTACCACTGCAGTAACAACTGATCCAGAGGCTAAATTAGAAAAGATGGAAACAGTAGCACAAGAAGATTGTAAACTCAATCTTCATCCGTTATTCGCATTGAAATTTACAAGTGATGCACCATTCCAATGTTTTGTTGACGAATCAAAGGTAGCGTCTCTGTTGTACACAAATGAAATCTTGTATAACAAAGCAGGAAGCGTGGCAATGACCGCATTTGACATTGCTACATCCATTGGGGGATCTGAAGCAATTGTTGAAAGTTTCTACAGTGTTATGGACACTCAACGACAAGTGCGCCAGCTGCATACCACTTTGGAAAACCGAACCATACTTGACTGGGCTACAAGCAACGTGCTAAATCTTGAAGATGTTATTTCAAAGGCCGCTAAACTTTACGTTGATGGATCATCATCATTGAAACTACCACGTCATCGTGTCGGGGTAATGAAGAAAAAGACAGAGAAGTCGTACAAGGCTAGTCAGGTTCTGACGCGAATGAAGTTGGAAAAGGGACGCTATTCATTCCTGTCATGAAAAGTAATGAATCATTAAAGATTTGTTGGCTGCTAACATTTTAATTATGTACCAAACTTTTAACGCCACTTTGAACGGTCAAATCCTCTACGGATAAATTTGACACTTCAGATTTAACAAGTTCACATTATTGGATTTTTACAATATTATTGGATAAATTATTACATGTTTAAAATCATTCATTTGATGAAATCTTTAAAACACTATTGTTGTAGTTTAGATAACAAAGAAAAACATTTGCGTATGTTATCTACATATTTCTAATATCTACTAGTACTCTGGTGTATAACAACTAAATAATTGGCAAATTTGCCAAATTCAGAAATTCTGACCTTCGTTGCCAGTACACACTTGTTATCCCCCCCCCCTCCCCCCACGAAATCGAACGTGCACAGGTCATGAGCCCGCTGGCCATGTGCACAACATGTGGTGCACAACGAAAATTGCGTTTAAATTGTGCGGTGCACAGAAATGTTACATTCCCCATACTGGTTGAAATTATTTCAATGAATGGCATTTCAATCATTCCATCCTCGTTTATATTTAGGTCAGGACGTAGTTTGTAGTGTAGATCATTTGAGACATAAATACCTAAACCTCCTCCTCTTTTACTTACTCGGTTTGAACAAACAAAATTATAGTTGCTTACGCCGAAATTTTCACTGTTTTGTTCATTAAGCCAAGTTTCAGTTAAACTAATTATAGAAAAAGGTTGCTTCAAAGTATTTAATAGATGTTTAAATGCGTCAAACTTGTTAGCTATACTTCTAATGTTAAGGTTTAGTATAGTTAAATTTTTGTTTTCATCATTAATTGTGGGAAAGTCGTTCGGTAGATGATAATTGCAGGTTACGTATTCTGAGTTTTCCGTTAAAAAATTTTCATTGTTTTGAAGATTTAAAATGTCAGTGTTTATAAAATAGTGTTAAAAGGATTAAATTTTGGTTGCATTAGTCTATCCGTATCCTCTTTGCTCGGAATCCGATTAAAATTACCGAAAATAAAATTAAATTCTAAATCATCTATTGAATGAAAAGGAAGCGAATTACTTAAACATGTGTTGCATATATCAATTTCCGTTTGTTGACATCCGAGAGTTAATTTCATACACGCGGTGCGCACATGAAACCATCCCCCGCATGTCAGACAATTTATACTTTTATTATTTTTACCTATTATAGTAGAACAGGTAAAACAAACTTTCTTACCTAGTGTCAGATTTGCCATATCTTGTGTATATTAGTAGTATAAAATAAGTTCGAGAGAGTTATAGTATTGAAAATGTTAGTTTTGATGCGCTTGAGATTTGAACTCAACACCGTTAATAAATAATTTGTCTCGGACCATACATACTCTCTGTTTTGCTGCTTTGGCCTTCTTCATCTCCGGATACAAAGTTTGTCTGATCTTCTCGATTTCCTCTGGAAATTGCTCAGCTATTCCAATGCGAGTTCCTCGGAGTTTCCTGGCGTTTTGGCGGATAAATTCACGATCTCGAAAGTAATTGAATTTAATGACTATTGCTCTCGGTTTACGTTGCGCGTTGCGTTTCCTTCCGACTCGGTGTGTTCTGTCGATTTTTATCTTATTCCTGGCATCGGGAATCTCTAATTTCTCCTCGAGAATCTGAAAAATTTTCTCATCGGTATTTTCCTTTTCCTCTTCTTCGACATTAAAGAATAGCAGGTTATCGCGCATGGATAGAGCTTTCAGATCGATGACACTCTCGTGTAGGCGTCGATTTGCTTCCTCTAATTCGACAATTCGATTTTCCTCTTCCGAATTCTTAGCATTTTCAATTTGCTCTTTTAAATCTTCAACTTCTGCGTGCGCAAACTCTAATGAAGATTTCATTTGCTTGAAATCTTGTTCAATGCAAACAATTCGATTTTTGATCTCATGTAGGGTATCTAGTTTCGCCATGACAGTTCCGATCATCTCGTAGATTTCATCCAATTTTTCATTATCTAATCGTTTTTCTTCGCTTTTTCCTGGTGATTTGCTTGGTGTACTCTTTGATTTTGCACTTTTCATTTTCGCGGTCTCGTTAGCTGGATTATTTAGGGTAGATTTAGATTCTATTTGTCTACTGCTTTTCAAAGCATGTTGTCATGTCAACATGATATGATACCTGAAAATAAAGCCCATAGAAACCAAAATAATATACCTACTTTATATATTTTAGAAATTGATAGTTCTGTATTTAAGTGTTCAAATTTTATCTATTTTTTGCAGGTTTGTACAAAAAATTAAAAAAAAACCAATTATCATGTTGCCATGACTAACATGACGTGGCGTATAATCAGTGTTAGCGTAATTACGAATACATGTTAAAAAAAACGTTTGGAAAATATAGGCGAGGGGTTGTTGCATGCATGTATTTCTAATATTATAATATATTTTCATGAAATTCATTTCTGTGTGCCAAAAAATAACGAAAATTTTAGTTTACTGAGATGAACGAGGGCAAATTCATTTGTAATTTTTAAAATTTACAGCTCCAAATGTAACTTCAGCCGCATTTTTAAAGCCTTGCATTATTTTGGACGAAGATGAGCCGAATACTTTCCAAAGGCGTAATGGAAAAATGTTTTTAAACACGTCTGCGGTGTTTTGATACGGTCCACAGTTTAAATGTTACTAAAAATAGTAACTTAATGAGGTATTTGGATTCCTTGGAGGCTATCCCTATGATACTGTCGGATACCCTTTGATACTGTGGCTGTGTTTTGATTGTGTAAAAATGAAATAATCATAAACAGCTTGGAAACTTTGTCTCATATTGCTAACAGCTGCATTCTTTGAACATTAACAACTGAGAAAGCGATGGCCTTACATTCAGAAAACGTCCTAGAAATAACACTGTATAAATAGTGTTTTGGGTGCCGATTCAAACAAAACTATTATGTGTCTGAAGGGCTCGAAGTTATCTAGGGCGAAAGGGTAATACAGTATGGCTAGTTTACATTGTTCAAGAAAATTGAGTAATATAGTGAAATGTATGATATTGCTTGACCACTCAAAGTTCATAAATTGCTATAATGTTGACAATTAACTAAAACTATCGTTAGGAATTAGGAGATGTTGCTTCACTGAATCGAACGGTAGTATTTTTGTCTTCATAGCATTCGCCTAACTGAAGATATGAACCTGCAAAGTCATATTGCACTGGTGCAGTATGTTATTAAATAGGTACCGGACAAGAAAATTAAATGTGCTTAGTCACAAAGTTAAGACGACTTTTCTATGTCAAGGTGCTACAAGCAGAAACTTGAACACTGATAAGAAAGAACATTTTTCAGTTATTGTGTTTTTTGTTACTTGATGTTTAAAATATGGCCTTGTCAAGGCTAAATTTTAGGACAGAATCAGATGCTCAGAACACAGGAAATGGCATTTCCAGGGTTCGAATTTCAAAACAATTCCAGGAGAGACATGGCGAGACCAAGGAATATGCTATGGTCAGATTTTATTCTACATCTGCCCCTGAAAACGTGCATAATATTTGAATATTTATAAATACGTAACCTAATGTACATAGCCTAATTTTACTTTTAAATTCTGTGTCATTTTGATAGACTAATCAATGATCGAAGTGCTTATCGTGCAATGGTATAAGTGGCCCAAGAGGAAAAACACAATGCCATCCTTGTAAAAGGAAAGATGAGATGGAGCAAATTGCAAAAATGCAGACCCATCAAATCAATTTGCTATGCTGACAAATTCACTATCTATTCACTGCGGCACTGTCACTGTA